CCTTACGAGGAAAATATTACCACGCCTTTACGAGGAAAGCTTTCCTCGTAAATTCGCTACAACCTTACGAGGAAAATGTCTTTACGATGAACGTGTTTCGAGGAAACGCGTTTCCTCGTAAGTTCCTAGTAAAAGGCCATTTACTAGGAACTAACGAGGAAAACCCGTCCTAGTAATGGACGAGTTTTCTTGTAGTGCAAGTACTTGATTTGATCATGAGAACCACCTCCTGTAGCGTTTGAAATTGCCCATATAGCTTCTTTCTTTATGTTAAACTCAGCGTTTTGAGCTAGATGCACCAAGCTTGGAATTATATTTGCATCAATAACTATCTGTTGTCATATAAATAAGGGCATGTTTGTTTCAATGTTTTGAAGCATTTATAAGCAAAAAAAAAAACATGTGATGTAGCAACAAAAAAACTAACTCACCTGAATGTGTTCTTTAATGCCTGCTGTGATGTTTGTAATAGTCCAACAAGCATCTCTCTTTATGCTCTTATTATAGCTTTGTCTAAGCAGGTTGGATATAATGGGTATAGCTCCACAATTGATCACACACTAAAGAATAAGTTCAGAAAAGTGTTCAAAAAGGTTTCCATATAAAAAAAAAAAGGTTTCCATATAAGTTAAGTTCAGTAAGTGTTCAAGAAGGTTACTATAAATAGAATATTTGAGTTTTACATACCTGAGTCTGCTGAGAATTTCCAGAAAGTATATTCCCAATGCTACGTAGTGCAGGAGCAAGCACACTTGAAGAAGGATGCCTACAAATATATAATTTTTTTTGTCAGAGTTCATTACTCAAACATGTAACAAGAGATTAAATCAAGTACTAACATGAGAAGTTCAACTAGTCTTGGGACAACACCAGCTTCTACCACACTTTGAATCTGTTCTTCTCTACCATCAGACATGAAAGAAAGTGACCAGCAAGCATCTGCCAAGACTTCATCATCATTCGAATGAACAAGTCGTCCTAACGCAGGGAGAGCAGGTGAGACATGCTCAAACGCTGGCTTAGGCTTGCCACGGCAGAAGTTAGACAAAGTCCAAGTGGCGTTTGTAATCATTGACAACGTATAGTGCTCATTCAGCTGAGATAACAGTGGCATCAATGCACCACACTCAAGAACATAGTCACGGTACTGTGGTGACTCACCAGCAACGTTACCCAACGCCCACACAACCTATAGGTTAAGGTGTTAGTTAACACATAGATAAAGATTCATATTCACATAAGTAGACAGTACCTGTTCACGGACAGCATCATCAGGGGAGGTAGCGAGAAGCTTGATAAAGATTGGAACAGCGCCGTGATCAATCACAACTTTGGTGTGGTTACTTGTCCCCGAAGCAATGTTTGTTAGAATCCAAGCCGCCTCAAGCTGAAGCCAAGGTGAATCTTCCTTGTCAAGAAACTCAACGAAGCGAGGCACAACACCAGATTCTATCACCATGTCAATAGGAGGATTCTTGGTGGTCGATAGAATCAGCCTGAAATGGTTTAGGGTCTCAAGCTGCAGTAAAGGATCATCTGACCAAGCTCCAGCGACAAGAGAAATGAGATTCCTCATCTACATTCACAAGAACCAAAACCCTAATAAATCATATCTTGGGGAAAATTCAAGAAATGCAAGATCAGGGTTACCATCTTATCAATGGAGACGGTGGAAGAAGGAAGAGATGAATCTTGAGGAGGTTCTTGGATACGAAGGAGCCGTTGCTTCTTCAAGATTTCTTCGCGTTTGGTTTTGCGGATTTCGACTAGATTGTTCTCTCTTCTTCTTCGGGATTGCTCTGTATCCACAGCCGCCTTGTAGCTTTTTCGACGGACGTGGGTCTTCTCGTTCGGCCTCAGCGACATAGTGTTTCTCTGTTCTTTGATCTCTCGAAAGAAAGTGAATCACTCACTGAAGGTAAACCCTAGAAAGGAAGTGAAAGAGGGAAAAGGAGTTGTTGCAGTTGAGTGGAATGCAAGAAAGGTCAGGAGCGAAAGTTATAATTATATATTATTTTTTTCTTTATTTATAAGTCTTTTTTGTTGACAAAGGGCTTTTTATATATAAATCTTTTCAATTCTTTTTTTTTCTTGCCAAAAACTATGACAGGTTATGAGTTATATGACTAGTAACATCGTACAATCGCTAAAAGAAAATGCAAAATGGAATAAGTGAGAAATTCCTACTTTAAGAACAAAATCATAACTAAGCTAATTATTTTATTATATAAAATTAAATGTGATATTTCTAATTATCATTATGTGGTCCAAAGTTCAAACATAGCAAACATCACAGTAAAAAATATTATTGATTAAAATTTCGTTTTATTTGCACGTACAAGTCGAATTTTGGTATAATGTCATAAAAAATTAGCCATTAACAGTGTTAATTAGTATATACAGTATACAGTAATACTATACTGTAGATGGAAGTTGCTTTAGAGAAACAAGGTATCCAAAAGACGTTGACTCATCTCTAACGGTAGCAGGACCTTCTCGAGCCACCGTAGCCATCCGATTAGTGGGGGATCTTGGAGGAGATGCATAAAGAACTGATGCTTCGATAATTTCTCTATGTGTATTTTCAAGATCTTTAGAGATTCTGTGTGCTTGAAGAGCCGTTAGGTAAAGTCCCGCGGCTAGAAAGACGGTTAGAAGCGAGAACACACCCGCGGCTGAGAACAAGCCTTGTCGGATTACTAGACAACTAGGTTTTGGCTTGGACCAGTTCTTTAGATGTCCTGATTCCACACTAAGTCCCACTAATAGTAGAACCTCTCCAACACCAAAGCAAAGCCTTTGAAGAAACAAAAAATAATTTTAACAAAAAAAACACAAATGATAGTACTATAATTACAAAACATTAGAAAAATTCTCTAGGATAAGCCTAAATAAGTTTTATCACAAATATAGATCTTAAAAATAAAAAGGACTAAAATAGACTTAAATATTTTATCAAAAATAAGTAAATATACACTTATATTCTTTGAGTTAACTAATCGTAGATATTTTTGTTTAGAGTTAAAGACTAGAGTTTTGGAGCTAAAATTTCAAAAAAAATTTTAAAACATAAAATTTTAAAATAAAAAATGCCAGTTTAGTTATTTTTATTTTTGAAATCTATTTTATGATTAGAACTTAAAGAGATTTATTTGAGAGAATTACCCAAAACATTATTAACTTAGGATTATAACTAGCAACATCGTGCAATAACTAAAAAATATAAAAAATGGAATGTGTGTTAAGTTGTTGCGTTAGAATAATTAATTCTAATTACCATGTTGAGACGAAGAAGAAGGCTGCTTGAAAAGTGAGTGTCTTAGCAGGAACAGAGTCAGGATCCCATGTATCCAGAACAAGAGGTGCAGATGTGGTGACTGCGATAAGTAAGTACATGTGCAAGCCTACCATCGCAACCGCTAGTCCCACAAACGCGATCGCACCGCATAACAACGGCGTTTTGCCGCTACTGTTGTACACGCACGTTTTGCTTCCCCATGTCGCCTACATGAATATGTGAATAGTTTGGACAGACCATGAGACTGTGATGACCATTATATACTATGGACTAAAACCTAATTATTGAAACCAATTGCTATTTTTTCTTTAATCAATTGCTTAATTTAGCTACTTTATATAAATGACTTTTGGTGTTCAAAAAAAAAAATAATAATATGACTTTTGAAAATATTTTTGTTTTAGTATGATACAATATTTTATATTTATGTTTCAAATCCAATAAAATTATACAACTCTCTGTTCAAGTAATTGAGCTAACCGGGCTTAAGTTGTGAGTTACAATTTTTCTATATAAATCAATTTTATGAACATAATAGCAAAATAAATGAGAAAAAATTAGTTATGTAAATGTACCTGAGATCTCGTGGCTTCGGCATAAAGACAGAGAACAAAGCAGGAGAGGCCAAAGATTATGGTCAAAACCACGACGAAAATACCGGTTTTGCTGCTAAGATCGGTGGTTTTAGGACTTGGAACAAGATCTTGATGGGTCACAGCTCGTACTCTTGTTCTCGACATGCCTGTAGTTGTCAATGTCTCACAGATGAAAATCGAAGTTTCATGTTTTGAAAGTTAATTATACTTTGCATTGTTTTTACATCTTATATATGAGAGACATTGAAAGTGGGAAGGAAGAAAAGAAAAAGGTGAGCATATTTGATAAAATGAATTAAAAAGAAGAGGAGAATAGTAGAATTGCTTCGGCCAAAGGTTGCTTAAAGGCCAAAAGATTCGAAGGTTCCCTTTCAGATTTTTCTTTTTTTAATACTGTAAATTGTTTTGCTATAATGTCCATTGAGCGATGATGTGTAAAATAAATAATGTGACGAGAGTTTGTTAATGGTCATAGGTGGATGATTCTTTTTCATGTTATACTTTTATTATCTATTTTATCTGAACACACATGAACATCGTATTGTACATTTTCATCATCTTGAATGTCAATAACTACTTAAGAATAGTTTTTTTTTTTTTTTGAAAAAGGGCAACTTAAGAATAGTTGATGGATCGGATACACAATCATGGCTCTGATCAGATCCTCAATAGCTTGTTTGATCTGTTTTGTTGTTTACGCAATCTCCAGCAGCTTTTTGTGTGGCGGTGTTGGAGACATTCGCCTACAACATCAATAAGTCGGCACGTAGATGCTTGGTTTCACAACTTTATAAGCTCTATCGAAATCTACGTCCCCCAAGATGAGTCTGGAGCATTTCAGAAAGTGTGATTCCTCAACTGTAATCCATTTTACCAAGAGATCCCAAGATTTTCAGCAAAAAAAAAAAAAAAAAAGAGATCCCAAGATAGTGAAGAAATTCCAAATTAATCAAATTCGTCTTTTTTATAAAACAAAATTTTACTTCTATTACGTTTTTTTATTATAATTTTTTTGTATAGATATACAATATATATTAGTAGTAGATATAAATTATAAGTAGAAAGGTTTATCTTCGTTGATATTAGTCATACTACTTTTAGTTTCAAATTAAAAATTAAACTGGAATATTTTGACAATATTATCAAACAAAACATAAAATCAAACAAACTATATATAGCAAGAAAACAGAGTAAAATAAACTCGAAAATACAAAGAAAAAATCACAACATACTGCAAACTAGTCTAATACTAGATGTTACATAAGTTACATTCATCCTATTTATTATTTAACTCTTTTTACCACACTCCAACAAGCTATTACATATCTTCAAGAACCACTATAACCAAACGAAACATGAGAATTTATAATCAAAAGATCACTGGATTACTACGCGTTCTCATGTACCATCCACTTGCTGGTAATTAATATAATATCACTGGATTGTGATATCTCCAATATCTGAGAGATCCCAGAGATAATCATTTTGACAACAAGTCAAACTATCTTGACACTCCCAAACAAGAAACTCCTCATCAATACAATACCAAACCCATTTTCTGAAGAATCACAGAGACTAACCCACCAATCTGTACCACCATTTTCATTTGAACTCGAACTTATAACTCATGAGTCGCTCTATCTCACCATCTAACCACTCGTATGGCTCCAAAGACTCTCCTTCGAATTACCATTGTGCCCTCCATCACTGATCTCACTCTCGAAGTCTTTGGATGGTTGGAAACATTGCAAGGCCGTCACCATTTGCTTGTGTTTCTTCATGGATGACCTACTAGTTCTTCCCTTCTTCTTTTTGATATTGTTATTGGTTTCCACTCCAGAGGAAGAAGAAGAAGAAGACTTCTTTAGTACTAAATCATTGACGGCAGTGAAAGAGTAAATTTTGCGGCTAAGATGTGATTTCCAATAGTTTTTAATTCCGTTGTCTGTTCTTCCTGGTAGATGTGTTGCAATAAGAGACCATCTACGCGCACACACACAAAAATATAGGCACAAAGAATACACATGAGACCATTATTATAATTTTTGGCAATCAATTAAATTATATATTCTGTCACAACTTGGCTTCTTATTAATATAATACTATACATATATATGTTTTGAGAAAAGTCAAAACTGTATATATGTTTTTTGTAACTGTATATATGTTTTAATGGGTGAATCACATATAAATTGTGTAATACGTTCATATGTCAATGAAGTGACGTCGAAAAATTGGTTAATTAAATTACCTGTTGCCGAGAAGGGAATGCAACTTGAAGATGGTGTCTTCTTCCTCGGCTGTGATATTGCCCTTTTTCAAGTCCATTCTCAAATAGTTTATCCACCTTAGTCTACAGCTCTTTCCACATCTCAACAATCCTTCAAATTTTGTTATTGTTAGCAGACAATGTGTGAACTGAAATCAGTTTGTTCTGTTAACTAGAATTTATAATTTAATAACTACTTATTCATTAGAATTTACAATCAAATATAACATCACAAGTTTCTTTAAGGATTGGTACATTTTTCATTTTTTTTCCATTCACAACTACATCCATCTCTATTGCCAGTTTATAATGCAAGAACGTAAAGATGAATGAAATCATGCTCACTAGCTTGTAAAACAATTAAAAGAACTGACTCGTTTTTGGAATATTAAAATTTAAACAATCAAATATATAGATGATAAGAAAGAATAAAAGTCATAGATATACATACCGGCTTTCTTAGGCAAAGACCTCCAACAACCTTCACCGTTGGTCTGAATATAGTTAGTGAGGATCTCATCTTCCTCGGTAGTCCATCTCCCTCTCTTTACCCCTATTTTTTCGCAACAAGGAGCCCTTCCCATATCTTTTCAATCTATTCTCTCAAAAGAGAGAAAAGAGAAAGAACAAAAAGAAGAAGATATAACGCTTTTTGGACCCTTGAGTGCGAGAGGGAAGTGATGATAAGGAATCATCCAGGTGATTAATATAAAGAAAAAGGTAAAGAGAGAGTTAAGGTTGGAAAAAGACGTCGGATATGTGAAGGGACGAACCACGTTGCGGTCGAATTAAAAGTCATGTATTGTATCCATCACCCAAAACCATCGTACAAGAGACACTGCACGTACCTCTTCTTCTAACCTTTGGTCCCTCCTACCCTTTTAGGTGCATGCTTACAAGATATTTCAAATGAGGGATTCTCAATATATATATACACGTATATACTCTCTCTGTTTCATGTCGTTTTAGCTTTTAAAATTTATACTCTCTTTGTTTTATATTAAATGTCGTTTTAGCTTTTAAAATTTATTTCATTATAATTCTTTTTTTATATTTTCAAGACAAAAAATCAAATATTTTTTCTAGTTTTTACCCATATTTTTAGCTAATTAATTAATAAAATCAATTAAAATAGTATATTAAATAGAAGTAAAATAGAAAATTTAATCATTTTTTCTTAATTTGTATGTAAAAATTTTAAACGATATTATAATAAAACCGAGAGAATATTAATAATTAATATGAAATTTTTAACTTTACAGAAATCCAACCCAAAATAAATATTTTAGGTTGAGTTTTCCATCAAATTAAGAATTTAATAATTAAATAATAATATTAATATATACATACACATATTTTTGAGAATCTCGGAGCTAGAACCACATTAGGATGCTTTAAGAACATCTGAATTGGTTAACATGTAGGTAAAAGATCGGGTGATTGTGGTCGAAAGGTAAGGAGATGAGACTAGAACACCAACATGTTTCAGCTTTGATTTACTATTGCGTGAAACTAAGTCACAATTATTTTTGGTCACCTAACACGGATACGGATTCATGCTTTATGACCCATTTAAATGTCTGGAGAGAGGATTTATATGTGGATTGCACTACCCCTTAAAATTTAGTTTAGGTCTTTCTGTAAGTTTGGGATTCTCCCAGATTAATTAAAAAAAAAACATGTAGATAGAGTATCTCAAACAAAATATTTAAATTTTGTTATTAACTTCTTATAACAAAAAGATGCTAGATCAATGAGAATATGACACGCTAGATAGATGTTTTCTCATCTTTTTTCTTATAAATCTCTCTTTGCAGAGAGACGGCATTTCTCACTCTTTCTTCATTTTTTCTAATTGTTTTAATTATTTGAGAGACTGCTATTAAAAACATCCCCATGAGAGGGTTTTATCTTTTGAGGTTCTAAAAATACATATGTATATGTATATATTATATGTGTATGTACTTACAGAGTTTTAAGTTTTACGAAAAATCCAACCAAAAAATTTATATATCTATATAAATTTTTTGGTTAGATTTTTCATAAATATATATATATATATATATATATATTTAGAATTCCAAGAACTATAACTCTCATTGGAGATGCTTTAAAACTGCTCTAACTACATACGTACTTGGGTGTACATGTAACGTAGCTATATGCTTATACCTACTCGTACTATGCATTTAATGGATGTGTCTTGAAGCTCTAAGTACAAATATTTTCAAGACGTATAACTTCATTGGTTTAATTAATACTGTTTTATGTATACGGATTCAAATCAGAAACTGGTAGGACTACAAACATTAGTGCTACATCTTATAAATATGAAAGAGTCAATGAAACGAACACGTCTAATGACTTTTAGTGGCGGCGACAATGGCAATGTTAAAATGACCACGTTTTATGTGGAACAGCTTGGCCCATATTCATAAGTGGGTATGTATTGTTTGGGTAGGCCATATTTTTTTGTTAGTTTAGTTGTTGATTGATAGTTATAGTTAGTTTCAACGAATTTATTGAGCTCTTGGTCCATATGTACTGCTTATGCTCTTCGGTTTATTAATCGTACGTGTTCCTCTATTTGTCCAACCATTCTTTCTTCCACGCAGCTCAGCTTAGGGACTTGGTATATATTAGAAGTCAGTGTGAAATAGTCGATAAAGACCGTGGGGTAAATATAACCGGTATATATATTATGGTAAATTAAAAACAAAATTTCAGAAAATTGAACAACATTGTATTATACAGCATAAAATTAAACTAAAAATATACTTTGGGTCATACTTCTGTTAACGAGATGATGCGAGTCCAGCCCCTTATTTGATCAAATGAAGTACATGAAGTAGAAGTTATAAATTCACTGTGAAAGAAGGTATATATATGTTCTCACTATATTCTAAAATTGTATCCCCTAAGTGACACATTAGCAAAAAGAAAATAAAATTTATACTTCTGTCTGATTAATATAAAAATAGAGCAGACTATAGAATATAGTAACTTCGTAACTATCTCTCCAATAGGTTTTTCAATATTTCCACATGAACTTATAAATCATGTGTTATTTGCATAGTAAAATAGAATAATTTATTTGAATTATGCTTTCAGTGTAGTTACGCATCCCATTTCCAATTTTTCGTCAGCTCATAGTAATTATTTTATTCAAAAAGAAAGCATAAAAGTTGATGTAAACTATGAACAAATGTATAAGTTAAAAAAAAAAAACTATGAACAAATGTAATTACTTTGCTGGATTCTACGCATCATGAAGAACAATAAAATTAAATAGGACTGTAACACATCAATTTAAAAATATTGAATGTAGAAAGAGTGAATGGCAAAAGGATGATGACACTATATTCGAGCCAGTCACGGAAATCACGAGTCTCTTTAGTAACAACGAGCAAAAGCTTTCCCATTCATTCATTCAAGGTATCGCTCTAAATTCTTTTTGTCCTTCGCCGTTTCTATATATAAATACATATATATTGTTTAGTACTATTCTATATAAATTTGTTGAAACCTTCTATATTAGGGTCCACGCCTAAGGGTCCGATTGTATAGATAAAATGTATAAAGAAAGAGGTTATTATAATGGCCATGCAGGTCCATAAGGATCCTACGATCCCTTCACCAACTTACATAAAACTGACCTTTGATATAAATACCATACCCTTTTGTTTTGCATATATAAGCACTTGAGCAATCAATAACCTTACCTATTTTCATCTATATGTCTTGCATATTGTAATCAACAATATTTGTAATTTTTTCTGTTGTTTCCTGAAATGTTCGTCTTAAAATTATTTTTGTGACGAAAACTATTTTTTTTTCATGATTTTTAACTTAAAAGGAAATTATAGTCTCTCTTATTAAAACATAAACATTATATCCTCTTAGAGTCTTAGACCTAACTATTATTTTGTAAAATTTTAAATTTAATAGACATTCTGTTCTGTGTTAATTATGGAAAGATATTATACTAATAAATATTTTCCCAGTTAACAAAATATTTAATCTTGTGTCCAAACTATATAACATATTAGATCCCATCTTTTAATAAATTTTTATTATCTACTCTATTAAAATAGAGTCATTCTTTTTATCTACTGATACAAGTTGTCATTTAAATTTGGACCCTTTTTAGAATGTTACAAATAATATAAATCATTTAATTGATTGAACTGTATTACTTAAATTAAACCAACACAATTAATATAAAGAGACGACCTTAATGTAAACTATCTTCAAAATACGGCAGGTATCTATGTGTATACCAAAAACACATATTTTCTCTTATAAATATGGAATGTTCTAGAAGAATATATATCATCACAATATGGAATATTGAAATCTACTAATTATACTTAAATTAAACCAGTGGTTATTTATGGAATATAGTCTTGCGCTTACTTTTATTTTTTGAACAAATTATATAGTTTGTTTTTTTGGCTTAGTATTAAGAAAAAACTCCAAAAACATTGGATAAACTTTTCACCTTAAAAGATCAAAAAATCAATTATTATTTTCAGACCCAAAAGGTAGAAACTTAAAAACTAAAAACCAAAAACCAAAATCTAAAAATAAAAACTGAAACTAAAAACTAATGAAAAACAATCATCACCACAAATTTTAGTGAAATAGTTTTACATCAAAATATTCTTTAAATTAAGACAAAACCCAATTATATAAATTTTTAATCATAAAAAATTTCCGCGCTTTCAAGCGCGGGTCAAAATCTAGTTATTATTAAGTCACAGTTGGCTAAAACACTCAAATATTTTATAGAAAATTACCAAAAAATTATAAATATATATATTTTTGTAGGTTTAGATACTACGAAATCATTTCATTTAATACTGAAGCAACTAAAGTATAGACTATCATATTTCTATTTTAGCAAATAAAGAATTACATTCATTTAAATTTAAATTTTCAAATCAAACTAAATATTGTATATAAGTAAAATGATGGAGTCAACAAATTGACATCAAATAAGTTTTAAAATTAAAAATGTATCAAAAATATATCACACAATTAATCAAATAAATTAATGAGATTTTAGCAAAAATTCAATAAGGAAATGGGTTGAAATAATTGAGAAAAGAAATTATGTAATATCTTACATAATTTTCAGATTTAATATAATATCAATAATATAGTTATATAGTTGTGAAATACATTAAAGTAAAAAAAATGTTTAAACATATTACTTCACAGATCAAAATCTAGTTAATCATAATAATACCAAACAAGATGATTAAATGTCTTATACTTTGTGGACTCTCTAGTTTGTATGTTCTCTTTTTGTGTTATATACTTATATAATAGCTTTTCCAACAAACAAAAATTCAACTAAAATTTTTGTTCTATCCAACAAAACTTCTAGGATGAATTGACCAAATTGTAAATCCTTATGATGAATTAGATAAACAGAAGCAGATTATAACGTTTTGCAACAAAAAAAAAAATAACAATTAAATTTTCCCTTTCCGGCCGAAAGAATCGCCATGCTATATTACTACGTACGTATTTTTCTCAGTGTGTTAAAAAGAGAGTAAAGCTTGAAAAGATCAAGAAA